CATGGCTAAATTAAGGAATAGTCACAGTCCTGAATTCTTCAGAAATGCCAGTCTCACTAAAAAGAAATAAAAGCTAAACAATTGTTCTAGATTAGAGACTAAGAGACATGACAACTAAGCACAATGCATAACCCCTGTGTTGGCGGGAACCAAAATACCCAAAAATACAGAACATTTTTGGGACAATAGGATCTCTGAATGTGAACTGCATATTACATACTAAGCCTCTATCAAGGTTAAATTTTCTGAGTGTGATAATTGTACTGTAGCTATATAGGAGAATGCTCTTGTTCTTAGGAAATACTGATGTATGCAGCATAAAGTGTCATAATTTCTGTCAGGAATTTTCCAATGGTTCGGAAAATACTTTACATCCACATATGTGTGTGTACATACAAAGAAATAAGGCAAACGTGGCAGAATGTTAACAACTGGTCTGAATAAGAATGTTTATGAGTGCACTTTTTTAAAAAGTACACTTTTTTAAAAAGGCATATAAAGAATTAATAAAACAAATCCAACATTATTTTACTCTTTGATTAGTATAGTGTTTTCAAACTGCAGAATTGGCAAATAACTCAATGTACACTGCCTACCCTTCCTAACAGTTTAATGTAGGTGATGTCAAGTTCTAGCAAGTGGCCCCAGACTTGACAGAAACCCAGGAAAAGCTGTCAGCACATGGCCTTACTGTGCAGGGCTGGAACCACTACCTCCTGCATTTCTGAGTCCCTGCAAAACTATCTGAAAAGGAGAAAAAGGTCAGACTTTCTCTGGGCCAAATTGTGACCCCAAAGCAATAACCTCAACTCAACTTAAGGTAAGGACAGTTCTTCAGCCTTTCAGAGGAATTCCAAACTTATTTCTTCCATTAAGGTAAGAAGAGAAAAGAGTCTTAGCCAAACCTACTAATACGAAGATTAACAGAAAACAAAGTCCCTGAATGAAATGAAATTTCGTACTTACCTAATGTGGATCTGGGTATGCTGGCATCTTCTTTGGCAGTCAGTAAAGTACTATCATCTATGGAAGGCATCTGCACTGAACCCTAAAAAATTGGGGGACTTAGGAAGATGCAGGAACTATGATCACAATGACAGCNAAATAATTTTTGAACTCACTAACTGAACACCGTCAGTGCAAAATACCCTAACAATAAAAAGAATTACAAAAAAACATAAACATTACATAATACATTTACTGTTGATAGTGGTATTTATGTAGTAATTCAGAAACTACTTTTACATATTATAGTATCCTGCAAATGTGTAAATCTTTTGAAATATATTGATGATGTAAGTAACCAGGGCTCTCAAGGAGATACAAATATGAAATGAAGGAAAAAAGAAGCATATTGTTAAATTAGAATTACAGAAATCAGTATCAAATCTTCATATGTGTACAAATACATACATATATACTTAAAAATATTCACTGCTAGCTCTGTTCACTTAAAAGGGCCTAGAAGCAAAAGGTATTCATGTGGCAATAAAGACATCTTGTGCCCAGATCACAGTCTGTCAATGCCATTACCCACCAAAAGGAACCAGGGAGCTCTTTAGGATAATGGCTGATTCTGGGACTGAGGCAGGTAAAGTAAAAGGTACTCATAGAACATCTTATTGTGCTAGAAACTATGAAAGTACAAAAAACAAAAACAAAACAAACCAAAAAACCTGATGGGAATATGGCAAAGGGTCAGAGAAATAGCTTGATGAGGTTGCCACTGACTGAATCTGGGTTAATTTCAGGAGTAAAGGAAATCATGATTGAAATCAATAATATAATGATTTTTAAAGATCCATATTGATAAAAACAAATGGGCTACAGAGATAGGGAAAGGACAGCTCTTCTTTATAAAATGATAACCACAAAGAAATAAAGAAGGAATTTTTTTTTTAAAGATAGGGTTTCACCATTATGGCCAGGCTGGTCTTGAACTCCTGACCTCAGGTGATCCACCCACCTCAGACTCCCAAAGTGCTAGGATTACAGGCATGAGCCACCACGCCTGGCTTAAAGAAGAAATTTTACAAAGAGAAAATCATAATTTTTTTTTTGAGACTGAGTCTCATTCTGTTGCCAAGGCCGGTGTGCAGTGGGGCAACCTTTCTGCCTCCCGGATTCAAGCAGTTCTCCTGCCTCATCCTCCTGCATAGCTGGGATTACAGGCATGTACCACCAAGCCTGACTAATTTTTGTATTTTTGGTAGAGACGTGGCTTCATCATATTGCCCGGTCTGGCCTCGAACTCCTGAGCTCAAGTGATCCACTCTCCTGGGCCTCCCAAAGTGCTGGGATTAAACGCATGAGCCACCGTGCCCAGCCCTGAAAAATCACCATTTTTAAGCTACCAATGTAAGAGTTGGTTCAAGCAAGGTTCAAATGATACTACAGCCACTGAGTGAATGATTGCTGGAAAACAGAACTGTCAACATCTCAAATTCAGCCAGCAGACGACTTATATATAAAGGTGAAAATGAACCTTTTGCAATGGAGAGATTTGGCAGCTACAACTGTAACCTAATGACTAAATTTCATATCACCAAGGATGATTCAAACTGATTATCATGCACTGATGTGATGCACTAAGAAAGATGTCATCCAGGCTCACATCTGTAATCCCAGCACTTTGGGAGGCTGAGGCAGGTGGGTCATTTGAGGCTAGGAGTTCCAGACCAGCCTGGCCAACACGGTGAAACCCCATCTCTTAAAAAAACAAAACAAAACAAACTAGCCAAGCATGTAG